CTAGTGTTTCGTGGGTACTACTCACCAAAAAGATAAGAATAACAATTTTAACACCGGTTCTCTTGATTGGTGCCTTAAGATACACTGACTACAGGGCCAGGCTCACAGTGGCATCTGGTCTTCACAGCAGCTCCATGTGGCAGGGGTGATATGTAGTTCTGAGAGAGGTTGTGGACACCCTCTGAGAAGGGAAATAACAAGGGCAGAAGCTGACAGTAGCAGAACAAGAACCCAACCTTTTTTAAAACTCCATATTTGGAAGTAATTTCTAAACTACAGAAAAGTTGCAAGAATTAAAATGGGACAAAGAATATCCATATACCTTTTTCTCTCCTTAGACACACACATGTGCACATGTTTCAGAATATTTTGAATAAATTTTATACATCATTTCCCTTTACCTGTAAGTACTTCAGTGCATAGTCCTGAGACTGAGATATCATTTTTCAGTAAAGCTACCCACTTTAGGAAATTTAGCATAGAAAAAATATTTTATCTAATGTGCTGTCCATATTCTAATTTTGTCAGCTGTCTTAATAATAGCTTCCATAGCACAGATTTCCTTGAAGAATTCAGGCTCTGCATTAGTAAGCCACTGCAGATGACTTATTGGGCTGGGCTGTCAGTGGGTCATCCCAAATCCTGGTAGGAGCTTCTTTCTTTCTTTTTTTTTGTACCAGGGATTGAACCTTGGACCTTGCTCTTGCGAGGCAGGTGGCAGCACCACTGAGCAAAATCCCAGGCCCTAGGAGCTTCTTTCTAAAGTTCTCCAAGAGGCAGATTGGATTGAGCTGTGCCCTCTGTGGACTAGACAGAGCCATACATTGGCTTCTGACCAACTCCATGTCTATGGGTTCTGCATCCTGCCCAAAGCCACCTGCCTACTCCAAGCTGGCTCTCTTTTGTTTCCACTGGTATGGAGCAGCAGAGGCACTGACCAACTGACCAACCTGATTGTGGAAAAGGCCAACACCTGGGAAAAGAATGTAAGCCTGGAGGGTTGTCAGATACAGAAAAAATTACAGACCTATCCAGTAGCACTAGCTCCAAGAAAAGTCCACAGCTATTGTAAACTACAAAAGCAGCATGGAGTTCTACTCTGAAGGTGACTCCTTCATAGCAAGCTAGAGTTGGAGAAGAAACCCAGTGCTGCACTTACCATATTTCCAGAGAGAGCTTAATCAGGTGCCATTTTGGGACAGGGTCAATTGTTTAAGATTGAGCCACAGAACAATTACAGAACAACTCTACTTCAGGGTCTCCAATGTTAACCGCCCACAGTGACTGAGTAAGAGATAGCCATAGAAGGCAATCACAGAGAGGGTGTCGACTACACATAGACCCTTGAGAAGTTTAAGTTCAAGCTAAGAAGGACATGGGCCCCATCCTCTATCATGAGAAATAAGGCCCAGTGAGTGTGTCTTTTAGAGGTGGCTGGATCTGAAAGTGCTGACATTAAGTCAAGTAGCCTGCCTGAATCCCTGCCCTGCTGCCTATATCCAACAGAGACCAGTGCTCTGATTGTCTTCCCTATCTACCAATGTGAGCAAGGACATGTTTCAGCTTGGACAGTTGCCATAGTCTTGGATGTACAGACAGAAGGGCTTCTGGAGAAGTGGGGGATACCTCACAAACCCATAGGCTATAAAGTTAGGTGGAGAAAATCATGACTTACTAGATTATAAGACTGTAGAAACTGAAAGGAAACCATCCATTGAAAACTACAGAGGAATGTGGAGGGGGGGACTCGACTTTTTTTTCCTTTTTTTCCTTCTGTGGTTTTTAGGAGGGTTGGGTTTTTCACCTTTATTTGTTGCCTTTCTCCTTTTAACTTTTTTTCTTATGTTTCTTTTTGCCTTTATTTTGCTGTTTTTTCTTTTCCTTGTTTATTCCCAAATAGCCATGAACAGAAAAGAACTTCTCCACAGAACATCACAGTCAAAATCCCAGAAGTCCAACACAAGGACCAAATTGTAAAAGCTGTAAGAGAAAAGGAACAAATTACTTATAAAGGTAAACTCATTAGAATTATAGCAGACTTCTCAACACAAACCTGGAAGGCCAGGAGAGCTTGGAGCAAAGTGTTTCAATCCCCCATCCCCCCAAAAACCCCCAACTTCCAACCTAGACTGATATGTCCCACAGAATGATCTTTCAAAATTGATGGAAAAATAAGAGATAACAATTATAAACATATATTCACCAAACACCAACAACCCACCTTTATAAAACAAACACTACTGGCCAGAAAAGATCAGATAAATGTCAACACAGTTACAGTGGGGAACCTCAATACTCCACTGTCACAGACAGATCAACTAGAAAAAAATCAGCAAGGAAATTTCAGAGTTGAACCAAACCATTGAACAGTGTGGACTTAACAGATATTTACAGAGTGTTCTATCCAACAACAGAATACAAATACTTCTTGGCAGGAATTTTCTCCAAAATAGACCACATACTAGCCTATAAAGCATCCTTAAGTAAATGCAAAAGAATTGGAATTATCCCAGGCATAGTATCAGATCATAGTACAAACTAGTGATCTATGGCAAAAGTAATCACAGAAATTATGCAAACACAGGGAATGTAAACAATACACTCTTGAATAATCAGTGGGTCACAGAAGAAATCAAGGCAGCAATTAGACAATTCCTAGAATCGAACAATAATGTCAGTACAGCACACCAGAAGTTGTGGAACGAAATGACAGCAGTCCTAAGAAGGAAGTTTAGAGCTGTGAATGCCCACATCACAAAAACAGAGCAAGCCAAATAAATAACCTAATAATGGACATCAAGGTCCTAGAAAAACAAGAACAATCCCAATCCAAAGCCAACAGAAGGAAGGAAATTGTAAAGATCAGAGCAGAAATTAATGAAATTGACACTAAAAAATGATGCAAAGAAGCAATGAATCAAAGAGCAGGTTCTTCAAAAGAATAAACAAAATAGACAAACCCTCAGCCAATCTAACCAAAAAAGAGAGAGAAAAGAGACAAGTCAATGTAACTGGAAATGAAAAAAGTGAAATCACAGGCCTTTCCTCCTCTTCGTCAAGGAGGAAAACATCAACTCCCCCATCTTGGCGGGGAGTGGATGGATCCCATGCAACAGTAATTGTCCTCATGGTTCAGCTTCCCTCCAGCCCAGGGCCGCCTCCCTGGCTAACATTAAGCGCAGGCTGGACTGGCCACCACCTGCGTGTGACCTGCCAATTCCTTGGTGTGTGTCTGAGTCTCCCTTTGCACCCTGAGTTTATGAGAGGACCAGGTCACACGATGTCTTGGTGTCCCTGCACCCATATGTGCAAGGTCCTCTGCTGTGCAGAGGTGGGAAGGGTAACTATGGCTGTGTCCTCAGCCCACAGGCCTTGGGGCCCTCTCCCCCTGAAACTTCCAGTCCTGCTGGGGACACGAGAGGCCATGGGACTCAGACGCCACCTCAGGACCCAGGATGCACCAAGCATCCCCATATGAGAATAGTAACGATGAAAATTTTGTAGGACATAGAAAAATCAGCACTATACTTAGATGAAAACTTAACTTTCAATGCATTTATTTGGAGAGTGGAAAATTTAAAATATAAGGAAGCTAACCTTTGTCTCAAGAAAAATAGAAAAATAGCAACAGATCAACACCCAAAGAATTCTGAAAGATGGTAAAAAAAGGTAAAAAAAAGAAATCAACAAAATATACTTTTGAAAAACCAATCACAAACTAAAAGCTGAGTCTTTGAAAAAGTTGATTAGCTATACAAATTAAGGGGAGAAAAGAAACAAAATATGTCAATAAAAGGTTGAACCAAAAGAAAAGAATTACTGATATAAAACAACAATTTTAAAACAATAATGATGGGCATTTATGAATTCATGTCTAGTATTTAATCCAAAAACCTAGACAAAATAAATTCTTAGACATAAATTTAAAATTTGACTTAGAAATGGCAAATTTGAAAGTATCAGTGTTAACAAAACTGATAGTTTTCCAGGAGTGCCTGGAAATAGCAGGTTTGGCTGTGGCGCCTACTTTCCTCTTTTCCCATAGAATCAGCTTTCCTGACAGGAAATAATGGTGTTGTCACCCCAAAGAGAACAGAACTCTGGCTCAGCATGCATAACGCCCTGTCCTCCGGACACTGTGATCAGTCCAAGGATGGGCAAACATGTCCAGTGTCCTTTGGAGGATGGCTATGAACACAAAAAAGAGAATTTCTCTCCTGTTATCAAATAATCAGTTAGAACCAAATAACCTGGAGCTACAGTGACTACCTTTGTTCCCAGTGTAGACAGAATAGTAAAACAGAAGCTAGAAGACAGCAGAACAAAGAAAGGAAGAAAACAAATGATGGATTTGGGAGCTGAAGCCCTTTCTATTTTTTGAAATTCATAGTCAAGGGATACCCAATCAATTTTCTTTTTTAGTTTAGAATAGAGTTTGGTGTCTGTCTCCTGCAATCCAAGGAGAAATAATGAACAAAAGCTACAGAGAAATGCTAGACTTTAGAGCTGAAAGGTCTTGGATTTGAATCTCAAGGGCAGCTTACTTGACCACCATGTGTCCCAGTTTCCTTATCTGAAGAAGTGTGATAGTAATAAAGATGGCTCATTGGATCATTGTGAAGATTAAATGAGATAATCTACAGGAAGCATTTGGTTGGTATGATCCCTCAGCTGTCCCTCCCGACAGAGGCCACCTTGAAGGCAGGACCAGCCTGATTCATCCCCACCAGAGCTCAGCATGTGGCTTCTGCAGATATCTGTGTCTGACACTGGTGAGTTCTATACCCACTGCCATGGGGCAACCACTGGTGAAACTTCTGCCTCATTTTTATATCAAATAATAAGACCAAAAACAAATACTGATGAAAGTTAATTTGCAGCATTGCTATGTTTACTCAAATTTCCTGAGGAGCCTCCCATTGGCCAATGGCTTGGGGGTGGGGACCACCGAATGTTGAAGGCCACTGTCCCCCTCTAACCATTAACCAGAAGGGCAGCTGGCTAGCAAGATTTAGCCGTCAGCGTCCCCACTGGCTTACTGTACTCGTGCTACGATCCTAGACGGCACCAAGCCAGCAGAGCAACCCCAGCCCACTGCGGACAGTGAGTGACTCCCTGCAAAGTCTGGGGCCCACCTGCCCCTGCCCCTGCACCTGTCCCTGCCCCTGCCTCTGCCCCTGTACACTCCAGATCAAAGTGGTGGCTATAGCTCTTGTACTCGTTTGGATTATTTTCTGGGGCACTGATCATTAGGGCAACCAGCAGTGATATGAGGCCACCCTGGAGCACTTCCCAGTCTGCAGGTCACCCCTAGGGTTTTGATTTCTCAGAGAGCAGAGGCTGTCACTGAGCGCTGTAGCTAAGTTCCCTTCCCATCCAGTACACCTGGTGCTCCTAAACCCAGCACAGCAGCAGCCGCAGCTGCAGAGTGAGAGGGAGTCTGAGGGCTGGAATGGATGGGTGCCAGGCAGAGTACCAGTGGAGAATGCCAACTGGGGGGATGCAGAGCTGGCACAGAGCAGGGGCATCCTACAGGGTCTCACGTGCCCATCTTCCATAGCTCTCACGGGGTGACCTGGGGCTAGGACAATGTAGATGGACACTGACTCTGCTTTTTCTATGGCTGGGTACCTGTGCGAGCTGCTTTTGTGGTTCGATGGCTCTGTATGGGGAGCCAGGCTCAGAAGTCAGACTTCTGCTGACCCTGGAGTCTCAGCCCTGGCCAGGCTGCTCTGCCCCCTTGGCTCCCTCTTTTCATCTGTAAAATGGGCCCCAATGCCACATGATGTTAATTCACCTAAGCTAAGCATGCATGACAAGCTGTGACTGCTGAATACTCACAGCAGTGCTCTGAGGAGGGAGAGTTTTGATGTCTGCAGAGACATCAAAAAACTTGTGCTGCCCAGTGTCCTTGCCCAAGAGGGGTTCACAAACACAGACTGGGGTGGCAGTGACCAGCACCAAAGCAGATTCCTCTGTGTGTGACATAGGAGCAGGGACAGAGAGTAAGCAGAGGAAGGGCTCCCTGGGTACAGAGACCTAGCATGGAAGCCTCAAAGGCAATGAAGGAGTGAACTGAGACATCAAGGGACCAATCTGACCTGCCCTGCTCTGACCTGCACAGGATGAAAGTGTGATGTGTGCCAGGAAAGGCCGGCAGCTGGGACTTCGAGGGCCCAGTTCAAGGCTGGGGGCAGGACTGTCAACAGGGACTGGGTCATGAGGGCCCCCAGGGCACCTCAGTGGGGATCAATTGCATCCATCTTTAGACAACAGGACACCAATGAAAGCTTTTCAGCAGGAATTTGAGAAAGAAGCAATGAGAAGCAGAAGAGAGAACAGGTTGGAGGGAGCTGAGCAGAAAGCAAAGACCAACTGGGGACCAGACAGCACAACTGCTGAGTGCAGAGAGAGCAGCTAAGCCCCAAACTTGGGCAGTGTGCTGGGACTGGAAGAGAGGAGACAAACACCACCAAATAGGCCAGCTGGCACGGGACTGTTGTCTCTGCTATTTTATATGAGAAAACTGAGGCAGAGCTTTAACAACTTTTCCCATGTCACCTACTGAATAAACAGCAGTGCTGAGATCTGAATCCAGCCTGGTCTGCCTCAAAACCCAGGAAAAGGAAAGAAGTGTACTGGGGACCCAGAAGTCAGATCTGGGGAGAACCCAGCAAAGCCCAGAAGCTGGGGGCTGGGGTGGGGAGCAGGCCCCACCTGTACCTATCATCAGGTAGCGAAGTGGGGGTCTCAGATCAGCCATGGGGCTTATTTTTCCACTCTGCAGCTAAGAGGAGTCAGGCAGGGAGTGCTGGAAGAGGGCTCAGCGCTGTGGGGGTGTTTGCACCTGTTCTCTTGAGGTTTGAGTTTTGGAACATCCCAGACAAGGGACCCCTGAGGAATTCCAGGGAGACCAGTGGTTCCACACAGATTCCTGTGAACTGGTTTAAATAAGGGTGGGTAGGGAGAGATTTATGATAATAGGGTTATATGATTATGGAGAGAAGTCCCACTGAGTCCTGAGAACCAGGGGGAGCCAATGGTGTAACCCCCAGTCTTAATGCAAGGCCTAAGAATAGAAATGGGGCTGCTGGTATAAGTCTCAGAGTGCAAAGGCCCAAAACCCAGGAGCTCCAAGGTTCACGGTCAGAGCATGCATGTCTCAGCTCACAGGCAAAGAGAATTTTCTCTTGCTCTACCCTTTTAGTCTCTCTGTATCCTCCATGGATGGGGTGAACTTGCTCACATGGGTGAGGTTGGCTCCACTGACTCATCCTAATCTTTTCCGGAAATACTCTCACAAACACACCCTGAAATAATGTTCTCCCAGCTGCTATGGTCTGAATGTCTACAAATATTTACAAAACTCATGTATTGAAATCTCCACTGTGGTAGTATTAGGATGTGGAGTTTTCGGGAGGTGATTATTAAAGAGACCAGAGACCTGGATCACTCCTGTCACTGTGTGACAGGATATCGAGACAGCGTCTTCTATAAAGCAAAAAGCCCTCACCCAATGCCAGATCTGCTGGTGCTTTGATCTTGGACTTCTCAGCCTCTAGAACTGTTCTTTACAGATAACCCATCCTGTAGTATTTTTCTTACAGAAGCCTGAAAGGACTAAGACACCAGCTCCCTAGGATTCCCTGAGCACAGTCGAATGGACACATAAAATGAACCATCACATCGCTTCTGTCAATCTCTGTCTTTTATAGAATTTGATTCTTTTTACAGTAAATTAATTATTGATAAAGAAGGGCTTCCTTCCAACATTTTGTGATTTGTTTTCTATACATCATTTCCTATATTACTGTACCCTTTTTTGTTTAGTTGATTTTTGAAGTAAAATATTTTAATTCTCACCATCTTTTATACAGATACTTTGGCTATTTTTTGTGGTTATCCATGGGGATTATGGTTAACACCATCAAGTTATAATACTCTAAATTTATAATGCCTTAACCTTAATAACATATAAAACTGCTTCTCTGAAGCTTTATCCTTATTTTTGTTCAGTTATTGATGTCATAAATCATATTTTTCTGCCTATGTGCCCCCAAAATATACATTAATAATTGCTTTTATATGTTAATGTAAAATCATATAGAAAATAAAAGATAAAATTACAACCATATTAGCTTTGATAATTGCCCAAACACTTAGCTTTACCAGAGATCTTTATTTATTTGCCTAGCTTCCAGGAAATATTCAGTGTCTTTTCTTTTCAATCTGAAATGAGATGAATCTTTCATTTCTTTCTGGGCAGGTTTTGAGCTCTCTTTGCTTTATCTAGGAAAGTCTTAATTTCTTCCTCATTTTTTAAAAGATGATTTTATCAGATATAAGATTCTTGATGGAAAATTTTGTTTTGTTTTTCTTTCTGAATTTTGAATCTATCAAAGTGGATATCCAATACTGGATATTTAACCTCTTTCAGCATCTGCCTGTGGGTGCCTCAAATCAGGTTAATAATATTTACTTTATGTTTTGGTGAAGACTAGATGAGCAAAAATCAGCAAAATACCTTGATCAGTATTGAGCATCTAGAAGGCACTGGTTCCATCACAGTGAATGGAAGTCACATCTTCAGATGAGGAAATTGAAGCCCAGAGCCCTGCTGTGACTTTCCTCAGGTCCCGCAGCCAGTGTGGAGGAAGGGACTGGGGACAATATGGGGTCTCTGGCTGCCTCCTGTGGCACCGAGCCCCGCTCACTCAGGCGGCCACCACGTGCTCTAATTAGCATTCTTGATTTGCAGGGCCCGGCCATCCCAACCATGCCCCTTGCCCTGTACACCTGCGTCCTCTGCCTGTGCACCAGTGGCCTCTGGGCCATCCAGGCTGAGACCTCCAGTGCTGTTTCCGGCATAGACAGTCCTCACCGGGACCTAGCACCAACCAACCTTGACTTTGCCTTGAGCCTGTATCGGCACGTACTGGCCTCAGCTCCTGACACGAACGTCTTCATCTCCCCTGTGAGCATCTCCATAGCCTTGGCCATGCTGTCTCTGGGTACCTGTGGCCACACACAGACCCAGCTTCTCCAGGGCCTGGGCTTCAACCTCACCAGGATGTCAGAAACCAAGATCCACCAGGACTTCCAACACCTGCTTGACCTCCTCAGGGAGTCAGACACCAGCTTGGAAATGGCCATGGGGAATGCCTTGTTCCTCAACCACAGCCTGCATCCTCGGGAGTCCTTCTCAGCAGACATCAAACACTACTATAAGTCGGAGGCTTTGGCTGTAGATTTTCAGGACTGGACCAGAGCCCGCAGACAGATCAATGAGTACATCAACAATAAGACACAGGGAAAGCTCACGGACATGTTCTCAGAACTGGATAGTCCAGCCATCCTTATCCTGGTCAACTACATCTTCTTCAGAGGTACCTGCTCCCCATCCCATGGTGACAGGGCCCCATCAGCATTGCTGAGAATAGCAGCAGCTGTCATAATCTAGGGCAAACTTGGGGTAATGCCTTTAATTTCACAAAGCACATTCCCAGCTAGAATCTCCATCTTTACCACAGTGTTGCTGGGGAAGGGCACTATATCATTTTACAAAAACCAAAATGATACCTGGAAGAGTTAAGCAACTCACCTGGGTTCCTGGAGGTTGGTTTGAGGCCCATGCATGTAACTGCAGAGAGAATGGCTGCTTCGTGGTCTACAAGTATTGACTGATTATTAATGTGAGACAGGCTCCGGGTCAGGGGCCACACATCCAGCTTTGAACCAGATACAGGCCCCCTCAGGGTCTCCCCAACTGAAAAGGCCCACTTCCCCCCAACTCCAGCTCCCATCAGTTTGGCACTAGGCTTTCCAAAGTGCTGTTCATAAAAATCTCCAGGGAGACATGTTCATATTACAGATTCCAGAGCCCAGGCCAGAACTACTAAAGCAGAACCTCAGTCAGAAAGCCCTACAATGTGTAGTTTTACCAAGAGCTCCCATCCACTACCATTAGATCATTTTTATGATCAGGCAAATTGCACACACATTATCTCTGAAAATAAAACTGAACTCCTTCTGCTAGTGCAGTGGTTCTCAACTGAGGGTGACCCCCCTGCCCCAAAGATATTAGGCAATGTCTGGGGACATTTTGGTTGTAATAACTGGGGTGGGGTGGAATGTGCTACTGACATCTGGTAAGCAGAGGCCAGGGAGGTTGCTAAATATCCTACTCACAATGGTCAGGATGTTGCCCCCAAATGTCCAAGGTGCCAAGGTTAAGAAGCCCGGGGCTACCAGTCCTCTGGCTCTTTTGTCTTCTTCAGCTTCCTATCTCAAAATTTACTCTCCTCCATGCCACACACACACACACACACACACACACACACACACACTCCAGTCACACCAAATTCTTCTCCTGTCCTGGACCACACCTCTCTGGTGAATCCTGTGTGCTCCTCCTAATGCTGCTCTAATGAATTCCTGCTGATTTGATGGCTTAAAATAGCGCAAATTGTTTATCTGGCAGTTCTGGAGGTCGAAAGTCCAAAATGAGCCACAGTGGGCTAACATCCACATTTGAGCTGGGCTGGTTCCTTCTGAAGGTTCTAGGGGAGAATGCATTTCCAAACCTTTTCTAGCTTCTAGAAGCCACCTGCGATTCTTGACTCGGGGTCAAAGTCAGAGATAACAGCTGTTCCCAACAGCAGGTCTCCTCTGTTCCTGGCTCTCCTGCCCTTTTCCTCCACTGGTAAGGACCCAGGGGTTTACACAGACACACCTGAATCATCCAAGATATACTGCCAACTCAAGGCCAGCTGATTAGCAACTGCACATTCATCTGCAACTTTGTTCCCCCTTGACAGTAACCAGAATACTCAGAGATTCTGGTGACTAGGATGAGGGAATCGTTATTCTACCTGGCCCAAACCCCATGCCCCTTTTGTCTTATGGGCACTCTCTCAATTTATCTGAATCCCTAAACATCTTCTATCCTTCAGGTCTTAGCTCAAAAGTTGCCTCCTCTGGGAAGCCTCCCCTGATTCCCTCAGGGAACCCTTTGCTCTTCATATGCAGTTACGCAGGCCTGCCTTCAGCAATCACCTTGTCACCAGGGCCCACAGGGCTCAGCTCCCATAAAGGAGTCATGTTCAAAGATATGCAGGGGAAACAGCAGAAAGAAACAAGCAAAATCAGCACCATAGTGAAGCCTTGTTTCAGTTCCACAGACATCAGACTTCCTTTGGAGCATGGTTTGAGAACCCTCAAATTATCTTACTTTTCATGATACAGACTTACTGTCTGAAGTGACTGAGCTTGGAGAGATTATCCAGGACAGACCAGGCAGAGCTCCTGACTCTCTAGGCTGTGGCCATAGCTTGTTTCCCTGTATCCTCCAGCCTCTCTCCATTATCTCCACTAAGAACCAAGACTTTTGACCACATAATCCATGAATCTGCAGGCACTGAGATGGAGAAGGGACTGCCTGGTGCTGTGTTTTGGCCACCCTGAAGCTAGGAAACAATGGCCTCATGACCCTTCAGGGTGTGAGGTCAAGGGCACCAGAACACCTGGGACCCACTGAAGTCCTCTGTCCTCTCCTGACATGGAGAACCTTAAACTAGAGCAGAAGCAGTCCTGGTGAGATCCATTCAGTGTCTTTAGACGTCCTGCCACAGGACGTGCTGTTTGGAGTAAGCTCAGAAGGACAGAAGAGGTTCTGTGAAAGGCACTGCATCAGGGAGGCTTTGGATCAATCTGAGGAGAAACATTCTCCCCATCAGAGCCAATCAGTACTGCAAAGTAGTCAGTTCCCCACCCTGAAGCAAGCAAACAAGTTAGACAATGACATCATGGGATATGGTCTAGCCAGAGCTGAGGGAGGAGTCCATGGCCCTGAAGGAGCCTTTCCATCCTGACTCTGCATTCAGGAAATGTGGTCTAGCATGAGGGGCCAGGTGGCAGGACCAGGTTGTTGGGGTGGATGGAATGGATGGTTGGTCTATCTTAAAGTGAAGGTCCCTACCAGGGACATTGAATTTGTGGCTTGAGGTCCACCATCACTTCCAGAACTCTAAGCCAGGGAGCCAATACCAAGTCCGTTTTCAGTGAACCCTACCCCCAAACCCAAAGCCCAGCATTCTTGTGATCTCCTTACCCTCTTCTGTGTTTAGAAGGCAATCTTAGAAAATGGAGCTGATCCTCCACCCATTCCAAGAGGTAGAGGATGGAACAGGATTTAAATATCTGGGAACTGTGGAATCTTACTGGAAGACTCTGGCAGCCACAGTGGGGACATTATGTGCCAGGCTCTTGTGTAGCCTATTCACAGAGACACAATGGTGTTCTCCTGCTTCCCATGAGGCCACCCAAAGGGCATGTCCTGCCCTATGTGCCTGACTTCTGCTTACTCTCTGCTCCTTCTTCCCAGGCACATGGGCACACCCCTTCAACTCAGAAAGCAGCAGGGAGGAGAACTTCTATGTGAACAAGACAACCACAGTAACAGTGCCCATGATGTCCAAGTCAGGCACTATCATGTACCTGCATGACTCGGTGCTCCCCTGCCAGCTGGTACAGCTGAACTTCACAGGCAACGCGACTGTCTTCTTCATCCTTCCAGACCAAGGGCAGATGGACACAGTCATTGCTGGGCTAAGCCGGGACACCATCCTGCGGTGGTCCAATTCCCTGATCCATGGGTAAGCCCTCCCACCAGTTCTACCTGTTGGTGTCTGCAGTGCAGTGTCGCCATGGTGCATCTGTGGCTCCCTCCATGACTCACTGTCAGGCTTCACTGTTTTCCTCTCTGCTGGGTCCCCATAGTCTGAGTTTCTCTGACCTGGAGGTCACACTTGTGTTTTTGCTGATCAATCAGCAGCGAGATCCCCTTTTCCTGTGAGTTTCATAGCCTGCCTCTATATTATCACATTTTTACTTCGGTTTCTTAAAGTGACCTCACCAACCACCCAGTTTCCTACTTTTCCATTTTGTTATCTTGCTCACTAGAAACCAAGACTTGCTACATATTCCTGGGAGGCTCTATAAAGCATAATGCAAGCGACTGCTGTATCTCAATTCGCTCAGGGGATCTAACTCTTCTTCAATCGATCAATCAATCAATCAGAAAACAAATTAGAAAGTGGGGCCTGAGTAGGTAATAAATAGATCTGGAAAGAGAGCAGGGGGTATATGATCATGGCTGGGGGTCAGGAGAAGAACCAGCCAAGGGACTCCTTATGCCTGCAACTTCCAGCCCAGGCAAGGGGCCATGCAGAGTTGGCATTCAAGGAGGGCCAGCTGAAGATGTAAGGTAGGGATCGAGGTGAGGAAGGAGGGAGGAAGAAACAACTCATTTCCCCCAGGCAGCTCCAAAGTAGAGTGCAACTGAAGTGACCAGCAAGCGTGCCCAGCCCTGCTCCTAGCCCACAATCAAGGAGACTCACAGTCCCTTCTGATTCCATGCAGGAGAATCAGAAAATGCCAGCCAACTCAGAACCTGCTGGCAGGTTGGGTAGTGCAGACTCGGGGCAGAGCAGATGTGGCAGGGTGGGGCGTGTACAATGTGGAGCAGCTCAGGGGTGCAGGTGGGGCAGGCACATTACCTTCGATCAGTCATTCGCTCTGTGTTCATGCACAGAAGCACCTCTGTGCTGTGCACTGGGCTGAGCACAGAGAAGAATGGTGAATAGGGGAATCTGAGGCCTCAGACTCAAGCACTGTAGAGCAGGAAACAGATTCTGGTGGAATTAATGGTAGTAGAATGGCATAAGTAGTGAGACAGAGAGAGAGCAGGGGAGGGGAGGGGAGGGGAGGAGAGGACAGGACAGGACAGGACAGGACAGGACAGGACAGGACAGGACTGCCCAGGGGCAATGCCTGCAGAGCAGATCTTTGTCACTGTACTGCCTTTGGCCAGAGAGGAAGTCCAGCCAGTGGGAAGGGGTCCCGTGGAGCAGGAAAAGGGGGTGACGCTGTTCAAGTCAGGAGGCTGCACCCAGAGTACCGGCAAAGCAGGGCAGCGGCAATGAAGAAGACAAATTCAGCCCAGTTGAACTCTGTCAGGCAAGAACTTTGAGCAAGTGGTGGGGAGGCAGTGGTCGGCGGGTCCTGACTTACAGCAAGACAGAAGCAAGAAGCTCAGGGTGATGTTGTGTGGTGATCGTATATCCTAACAATACTGCAATGCACTGCATATTCCAAAATGCTAGGCGAAAAGATTTTGCACATTCTTACCATCAAGAAATGGTACATTTTGGAGAAAACAGATGTTTATCCTGGTTTAAACATTACCCAGTGGACACATGTATGAAACTATCACAATTATGAGCAATTTTGCTTTTATGAATGTTTTTAAAATTTAACAAAAAAATCAACTCTACAGCAGAAAATGTAGAAAAGATCTTTTCTACTTCATTACACAGATGGGTTTTGAGTTTTATGGTTCGAAGCTGTTTTTATTGTGAATGACACCGCCCCCAGAGAGCGGGTGGGTGCTGGGTTGTTCCCAGCTGCACCTCACCCTCACCTCGCAAAGGGAAACTTGTGATCGAAGTATAGTGACACAAGGTGGCGATAATGAACCGTGATGCAAACAAATTCTGGCCCTTACTGAAAATAGAGCAACGAATAATCTCCCCCCGCAACCCCCACCCCCCAAAAAACTCTTCATGAAAATACTCCAGTGTGGACAACATCAGCCAGCCACCCACACCACCCCGCAGCCCCGTGCCTCGCCCTTGGAGAGAGGCTGGGAGTGGCCGTCCTGCCGCCCCTTGGGGGCCTCGGGGATCCCTGGGCCACCGAGTTTCAGCCTCCCAATCTGCCTCTGTACTGTAAAAACAGTGGCCCTCGCCCGTCTTCCTCCTTACCCACTTCAGCACGCCCTTCCTTTACACCGGCAGAATCGAGTTCTTGCGGAACTGCAGCGCTCTGGCGCCCAGGGGCCTGCCCCGCACGTGCCGCCAGCACAAGAGTGGCAGAACTTAGCTGAAACCACCGGGAAACAGAGGCGTGGCTAGGGCCACGACCCCCGGCGGAGTGTTCCCTCCTCCTCTCTGTTGCTTCTAGCACGGACTTTCTGGGAAGCAAAGAGACTTCCATTTTTCTTTGTGGCACTGGGGACTGAACCCAGGCCCTTCTCACTGAACTTCATACATCTACCACCACCGCCCTTTTTCTTTTATTTTGAGGCAAGGTCTGGCTATATCACTAACTTGCCCAAACTGGGGTCAAACTTGCCCTCCCCCTGCCTCAGGGTGCCACTATGCCTGGCTCAGACCGACTTCCTTAGGGACCATTATCTTTGACGCCCAGTGGTTGAGCTGTATCACAGGTGGAATCAGCTCAAAGGCATCTCACAGCGGAAAAGAATGCAGCTGAGAGGCCCAAAGAAGATGCTGCTTGGGAAGCAGGGGAGGCAGATGCTGCTCTTGCTCTTGCCTTCTCCTGTCCCCAGGGAAAAGGTCAGTCAGACTGGGAGGCTAGAGCGGGAAGACGTGGCATCTGGCTGGGGGGGTCGGTGGCTCCCTCCCTGGCAGGCCCAGCCAGGACCTCTAACCTCCCCTGCTTGTTCTGAGAAGCCAGGTAGACCTGTACCTGCCGAAGCTCTCCATCTCGGGCGCCTATGACCTCAGAGCCATGCTGGCAGACATGGGCATCGAAGACTTGTTCACCAACCGGGCCAATTTCTCAGGCATCACCCAGGAGGCTCCACTGATGCTATCAAGGGTAAGAAGTGTCTTGGGAACCCATCCTTTTATATTTTTCTTCCTCCAAAACCTACAGTAAAAATAATCACGAATGCCACTCATTCCCAGCCTGAGAACCCAGGTCTGGGTTCAATCCCCTCCACCTACAGTGAGGTAAACTGAGGCTCGATTAGAAAGCATGACATCCCCAAGATGACACAGGCAGTTGGTTATGAGGGCAAGCCACCGCCCAAGCATCACGAAGCTATCATGGTGGCTCCGTGAGCAGCCCCTGCAAAAAGAAATAGGGAACACGGCAGATGTCTGATTTGGATTGCACTGAGCCTTCTACTCAGTTATACTTATTGTCCTTCAGTTTGATGTTCTGTTATTCACTCGTTTGTTCAGATAATTTTTTACTGAACCCCTACCATGTGCCCCCACACTATGCTAGGCTCTGGGTGTGCCTCCATCACTCAGATGTGGCCCCCACCCTTCAAACACAATGCCTATTGTGTGAGTGGACTCAGTCAAATCAGCTGCTCCTTCTAAAGTGGAGGAATTCAGGGAGGTAAAGAGCTTGTCCCTGATCTCAGAGCTCGTAAGTAAGTCTGACATTGGACCTTGGGTCTGTTGACTCAAGCCTCATTTTCTCAAGATCCACTGCAGGGGTTCTGGTCTCAGCCCCATCTATTCCTAGCCATGGTGCCTGTCGCAGCTGCACAGACCCTGGGAGCCCTGGCTATAAAGTAGAGCTGAAGGGAGTTACCGTCCCGCAGGGTATTGTGAGCATGCCAGATGTCACCCATTCATTAGCTGGATTATGATCTGTCAAAGGCTTTCCCTACAAGTTAGTCAAACATCCTCTTCATTTCAGAATTCCTTCTCAAGGAACATATCAACGGATTTTCATTTTTGACTTCTGCCTGGGCTTTCTTGTCCAGGGGAGGCCCAAGCACTTTGCACAATTTGAATGTGATATTTCTCAAGCACAGTGGGCAGAGAGTGAGGCCTCCCTTGCCCAGGTCGGGACACAGTAAGGGGCACCCAGGACAGACACTGAAGCCTGGTTAACATGTTACAGGTGCAAGGGGGATGTGCAGGTCAGACAGGGGCTGGAGGTAAAGGGGCCTGGGCTCTTGTCCTGTGGCTGCTGCTCAGGTGAGGAGCGAGCAAGTGACCAAAACCAGCCTTCAGTTCCACAAAGTGGAGGTGCAAAGAGTCCATGGGATGAGGCCTGGACAGTGCCTGGCATGTGGCAGGGACTCACCTCCTGCCCTCCTTGCACTGCCCACAGGTTGTCCACAAGGCCATCCTGCAGATAGACCAGGACAGAGTAAATGCAGCAAACCCCACGGGGAGCACCCCAAAGCTGGAGTCTGAGCCAGTCACCCTCCGTTTAAACTGGCCCTTCCTTGTCCTGATCTTCGACCACTACACATGGAGCCCTCTGCTCCTGGGGAAGGTTGTGAACCCGAGCTGAAAGCACAGCCCCCTGGGAGCCACTGCACCATCTAACTTTGGGGGAGAGCCCTCCCCCTGTCTTCTTCAGGTTTTCCTCCACAGGAACAGAGCTGCCCCTACCTTTATGCATCTTGTAATAAAAAACTATTGTTGCAAATCTCAGTACAAGTGTGGTTGAAAGGGGAGGCATCAGGATACAGAAGTGACACAGTCATAAACCCCCAGACTTGGTGTCTTCATTCATCCGAGTTGCCATAACAAAGTACCATAGGCTGGGCTGCTTATAAACCACAGTAATTCATTTCCCACAGCTCTAGATGCTGAAAGTCTGTGACATGGGTGCACCCTGAGCAGGTTCTGGGGAGGGCTCCCTTCCTGGCTTTTAGATGACGCCTTCTCACCAAGTCCTCACTCGGTAGAAAGAGCAGAGAAAGCTCAGTGGGATTTCTTGTAAAAGGGCACTAATCCCTTTCACACCTCCTAAAGGCCTCACTCACTCTGGGCTATTCATGGGGACACAGACATTCAGTCCCTAACACCCAGTACCACCACAGGAGGATGACTCCTCCAGCCAACAAACCTACCCCCTTCCCTGACAAGTGCAAGGAGCGTGGCATCTCGGACTCTCTGGGGGTTCAGGAGTCGGTGCAATGCAGGGAACAAGGCTGCGGGGTGAGGCTGGCCTGAGACAGAACCCCAGCCAGGTCACCGAGAGGTCAGACACGAAAGCTCTGTGTCTTTCCTTGTAAGGATGACTGGGAGGGTTCGCTGGACCCCCACTGGAGGGGCTGGCCCATGACGGGAAGCCTGTTGTGGGTGGAAGGTGCAGGCTCACCCAGGAAGCTGGGCCAGGAACTTGGCAGGTGTGTGGAACAGAGCCTCACATCCATTGGCTGTCCTTGCTTAATGTGAAGGCAAAACAGCTGCAGCAAAAGGCCAGGGGAGAGTCGTGGCTGCTGTCTTCAGGCCGTGGTCCTGGCCCTAGCTCAGTAGGACCCAGCCCTCATAGCAAATAGCACAACTTTCTGTCTGGCTGTGTGGGGGGCTGCTTTGCAGGGGGCGGGGGCAGTTTATGGGTTTGCACTGGGGGGAGTTTTATTATGGGTCTGCGTTGCTCATTTTTATAAGATGGACAACACAGTTTATGAATTTCCTTTCCCCTAAATCCACCCCATTGAATACATTACAGATGTGTATGAGGGGAGAAGTATCATTCGGGAGCCTATTCTTTATTTATTAATGGAAATTTACAATAAATCAAAAGTGCCACTTCCAAAAATTAGGGAAAATAAACTGTAGTAAAACATTTATTAAGAATGATTGTGAGCAACCAGACAGCCAGCTAAAAGACAAAGTAGAGGGCCGCGGATTTAGCTCACTGATTTCACCGCCTGCTGCACAAGCACAAAGATCCGAGTTTGATCCCTGGTACCATAAATAAATAAATAAATTAATTAATTAATTAATTAAAATAAAAGACAAAGCAGAGTTGAGATCATTTTCATCTTAATACTAGTATCAATTCCAGATGGATCAAAGGTTTAAATATAAAAAATTAAAATCATAAGATAACAAGATAATAATAAGATTTATAATAATAATAAGATATATGAGTATTTTTAAAGTAACCTCTTGAGAAAGGCTTATCTAAGAATTCTTTTTTTTTTAATCTAAGAATTCTTAAAACCCAGAAACCATTAAATGAAAGATTCATACAATCAACTTAATAGAAAATTTAAGTGTAAGACAAATGACAAACTGACAAAAATATGGAAAAAGCTAATTTTCCCACAAGTCAATAGTTATTTTAAAAGACCCAAATGAAGTTCTGGGTGGCTCTAGGATAATAGCAGCTGCATGAATATGAGCATGAATATGAATTTCTTATGCATTCTCCCACCGTGCTATAAAATCAATAGCAGTGGAAATAAAACCACATTTGAACTAAGCCCACAATATTGCATTGTTACCTGAAACTGGGGTCTCAGGAAGAGGTAGGTATAGGGGACAGAAAAATACAAGGAAGTAATGGCTAATTTTTTTCCAAAATCGATGAAAGCTATAAATACACAGGTGGAAGAATTTTAACAAATCCAAAGCAAGAAAAACATAAAGAACCCCAGCCACGGCATAGCATAGTCAAACTGCTTAAAACCAGGATCGAGGGGTCGGGGATTTGGCTCAGTGGTTTCGCCATCTGCTGCGCAACCGGAAGGATCTGAGTTCGATCCCCGGCACACACACACACACACAAAAACCACGATCAAGAAGAAAATCTGCAAAGGAGCCAGAAAAAAAGACATATTAGATACAGGGCACAGAGGCAAAGATGAGGCTCATTTTCTCATCAGAAACTATGTAGTTGGCTGAGGTGATGCACTGCATGGAGAACAGCGCTTTCCCTTCTCGGCGTTTCTATCCCAAATGTAACACCTGGATTTGACAAGAGAAAACATCAGACCAAGCCAGACTGAAAGGCATCCTACACAGTTGCCTGCCAGCACGCTTCCAAAGGGCTAAGTCAAGAAAATGATTATCCCGTTATTGTTCAGACGGAATGAGAAGAGGGTCATGACAGCCAATGAAACCGGGGATCCTGAACTGGATTCTGGGCCCCCCAAAAGGACCCTGGTGGGGTAATTGAAAAAATGCATAACATCAATATGGCATCCTTGTCATTTCCTGGTTTTGATGTTTGTGGAATGGTTATGTACTATGGTTCTGAAATGGACTCATGTTTGTAGAAGCTAGGTGAAGGGTATAAGAGGATACTATTGTTTGTAAGTTTTCTAAATAGAAAGTTAAACAAGAAATCATGTCAGCTGCAACCCAATGGAAAGATGTCTTTAAAGTTTGGATGGGGAGCATGCCATACTTCAAAAGGAGAAAAAAAAAAGAAAAACCATCCTTCAAAAATAAAGACAAAATAAATATTTTTTCCAGAAAAATAAAAGCTGATAAACTGTATCATCTTCTTTAAATAAGTTTTCAAAGTAGTTCTTTAGGCAGAAAAAAAAAATGATTTCAGTTGGAATCTTGGGCATATACAAAAGAATGAGGTACACTAGAAAAGGTAGAAGGTGGGCACAAATATTTCAAAAATAGCTTTTAAATAGAATTAACTGTTTAAAGCAAAAACGAAAACATTTTCTATGCTAATAATCAATTTATTCCTTTTCAGATCCAAATCCTCCCTTCACTGCTGCTCTGCAAAGATTAGTCTGGACCTTTTCAATATTTTTGCTTTGAAAATCAGGCATGATATCAAATTCTGTCAGCAGAGGGTGCGTAAGAGACACTATGGGAGGAAGAGGTTTCACCTTCCTGGTTCCTATCCCCAACATTAAAATGAGACAAGGCACTAAACAAGAGAGGGGAAGGGAAAGGGGAGAGGAAAGAAGGGAGAGGGGAGAGGGAGAGAGAAAGAGAAGAGAAAGGGAGGGAGAGAGAGAGAGAGAGAAGAGGAAGAGGGACAGGAAGCGGAAGCAGAAAAAGAGGAGGAGCAGGGAGGGAGGAAGGGAGAAAGAGACAGGAGGAGGAAGAAGGAGGAGGATGAGAAGGGAGAGGGAAGGGGGAGGGGAGGGGAGGGAGAACAGATCATAGAAAGCAAGGTAGCCTCCTGAAAGATACAACACAGGCAAAAACTCAACAAGAAATATGCAATATATCTATTGATAAAACTATAAAACACTCCTTAAAAATTAGACTTGAACAAATGATAAGATCACCCTCTGGAACAAGGTTCTTCAACATTATCTGCACATTGGCTTTCCCAAAACTAACTTATCAATTTATTGAGATTCCAATAAAAATATCAATAATTGTTAACCTATGGATAGACAAGATGATTCCAAAATCCATACAGAAAAGTAACCACACAAGAATATACAGGAAAACTGAAAAGAAAAGGCTATAAGGTGGGGAAGGGGGAAAGAATAGGGCACTATTTTGACAGATATTTAGGCACATGACATAGATTTTGAAACTGTGATGCTGGCACACAAGTAGGCAGACTGATAAAGTAGTTAGAAAGTCTGGAAATAGACCCAAGTACAAGTGGAAATCTAATATTTGATACAGAAAGACTAAAATAAATGATATTGATACTGGGACAACTGGATAGCTCTTTGGAAAAAAATAGAAAGGTAAAATTAGAAGCATTCCTCACACCATACACAGGAATAAACTAAGGATCAGAGCTCTAAATGTAAACAAAAATGAAACTATACAAGTACTAGGAGGAAACAGTAAAATTCATCAAAAATTAAGTGACTGTATATTCTACAAAGATAAGGGACTTTACAATATGTTTGGATTCTGCCTGCCACAACTGAAGTTATCTTGAGTGGTCACCACCATGACTGTCCCAAAGTAACCCTGCATAGTTTCCTTATCCTATAAAGAGATCAAACCATTCAAGCAGTATCTGGAGATTTATAACTGAACCCTGGAGCCAGGAATGTGCCTGAGTTTTTGATATTAGTTTAAGATAAACCAGGTACATTCTGGGTTGGATGAAGTCACTACTGTCCTAGTCAATAGGTACTGCCCCTCTTCATGACTAAATTGCAGGAATTTGCTTGGTCTTGCTGCCATCCAGGATCAGGGTTCTGTAAGTCTCCTCAATAAATTGCATCCTGAGCAGCCCTGCATCTTTCTGTCTGCCTCCTTTGTTCAAAGCACCTAGGGGCCAGTTATCATATGCTGGAACCAGCATATTACAGAACAATTTTCCAGCTCCTTATACTGGTTGCTTTCAGGTCAATATCACAGAAAATAGCGAGAGCTCTAAGGTCAAAGCAGGAGGTTCTCCAAAGCACTCAAAACATCTCAGAAAATTGGTGTTTGATGATTTTTGTGGTTCTCCAAGTGGTTGTAAGTATTCTTCAGATGATGATCCAAGTAGGAGGAAAACAAGAAGAATTTAAAATGTTTTACTTCCCCAAAGATAGGATTTGGGGATTGTTGTTCTACAAGCTACTGCCAAAGCTTGGATTTAACATAATAATTAATTCTGTTTGCATTTATTATTTGTTTTTGAGAAATGTCTTTAAAATTGAGTGAGAAACCAGGCTCTTGTTTACCCTGTTTGCGCTTCCATTTTGAAATGAATCAGACAAGAACAGGAAGCGTAGATGCTGCTCACATTGACAAAGCCAATGTTTGCTCCGAAGATGACTCAACCCCACAACAGCAAGACCTGTCGTCACAGTGACTTTAAGCCTGTGGACTTGGGTGCATTATTAGTCACCCCACGGCAATAAATTTCTTGAGGAACCTGGTAAGTTAAAAGAAAGAACCAAGCCAAATCCTTCCAGAAGCCTGGCAACTACTAATAAGTTAGAAAATGGAAGTGAACGAAAACTAACTTCATTTCTTCCCCATTTCTCCATCTGACTGGGAAATGAATGCAGATTGTTCACTCCATTCCCATCCTAGTCCTAAAAGTACTAACACCAAGCTGGGTGCTGCTAGCTCTGTTAAGCAGTTTACAGTGGCTATTTGAAGATCGAGGCCTTGAGTTGTTTTTCTTTAAGGTGCCTGTAAATAAAGAGCAAAATACAAGACAGATAATGAGAAATAAGGAGATAGATCTTTTGCAAAAGAAAAGGGGACCAAAGTAGAGGAAGGGGGCAAGAGAGGGAAAAAAGAGGATGGAAAAAGAATTAAAGATGTGTTATGCACATGAACCAACTCTCCACAATGAATGCAATCATTATGTACTGCAAACATGCACCAATAAAAATTCAAATTAAAAAAGATGGCTTCGGAGGTGCACAGTCTTTAGGACCACCTTCAGTCTCCTTGATCTGCTTCCTTTGTGCCTGAAGAAAGGAACAAAAATATAAAAATAATATGAAACCCCCAAAGCAGGCTTCCCAACGCTGTCGAAAGCAGCTTAAAGTTGGCACACTGCTTTGCGTGTTCATCTTGAGAGGAATATACACATTCTTAAAATTACCTTTTTCTCCTCATAAAAGCTCTATGCAAATATTAATGGATCACCTCAAGGGTCAAATCAGAAGGCCGCATTAACCTGTATCCAGAATACCTATGTCACTTTGAAGAATTTAGTCTTTCTTGTTTTCATTTGAAGATCTTTCTGACCAAAGAAGACAGAAGTTTGAGGTTTTTATTAATAAATGTTACAGATGTCTGCATTGAGTATATTTTGTTTTCTTAGTGGATAGATGAAATGGCCTGTTAATGAAGATCTCATCTATTGGAAGACCTTGGCTTTCTTAAATTAAGACGTGTACACACATCTCAAAAGGCACATGAGCTTCTTTAAAGCATCTCCTGGGGTGAAAATGTTGACTGTCCCTTTTTGGTTCTTCGTACTGATGGCCTCACTTGCATGCAAGTCCAGATGGAGGCATAGCACTTTCATCTTGGTCAAGATCCATTTGCTCTAAGGTTTTACCTGCAAGTTTGCATTTTTCTAACATTACATTTTATCTTTCTTTTTTCAAACATTCTGCTGACATGAAAGAATGCATTTTCTATTGTGAAAATCTTCATGTTATCTCAGGTAGCTTACGTTTCCTCCCGTTTTCTGTGTGTGGGAAATCAGAAATACTTTGGAAAGAAGACTTGGAGGGGTTAGTGTGGGGCTGTTTGGTTTGGAGGAGCCTATGCTTATTAGGTTTAGTGCTCTGGACGTACGGGTATAAAAACAGTCATTGCTAAGTTCTTCATCCACTTGCAGCCCAGGGGACTTTATTTGCAGGTAGAGGCCATATAAAAATATGTATTAGAACAAAAAGAGTCTGATAGGTGTGAGAAATAGGATCTTAAAGGGTCTCCATCAGCCTCGAATAGTTGAAGTTTCAGTCTCAACATTTACCTTGTGCTAGGCTCCATACTGTAGGTAGTGATCTACCTGTCTGCCTCCCCAAGAGTGTATCTTGAACGTCTTCATGCCCAAGCCACATCCCACTTGATGCCCAGCATGTCAAGGGCTGAGAAGCACCAATGAGCTCCACCATTGCTTTTTCTCTCACCAGAGAGCTCACGTAGCTCTCTCACATAGCTCTCTCACGTAGAGCTACTCAGGGGAAAGGCCCTCCCCCATCCCAGAAGGAGCTGAGCAGAAAGCAGAAGCCAGAGGTGTAGCCCGATCCTGTTGGGGGCTGTAGGAGGAGCTGGGGAATGTGGGAAGCCTCTTTGGTTTTCCGGAATCTCCACTATCTCTGAGCAGAATGTTAATTAGTAACAGTCCTACAGAGGGATCATACTTTGGAATTACAAATATTTGCAGAAGGCTTTGGGCTGCAGAGCAAAGCTTTCATCTTTTGAATGACCTTCTCAGGCACCTGAGGCCCCTTGAAGGTAAGAGGTGGAGGATGACAAGGAGATCTTGGAGTGGCTCAAGGGGAAGACTGGGGAGGGGAGGTGTTCCTGCCTTCCTGCCCTCCAGAGTGGGTTGTGGGGCATGAGATGAAAGGTGGGTGGCTAAGCAGCACAGAGTCCTCAGTCCTAGATGGGGTAGCAACTGTGATGCATGAGAGGCATGTCCTAGATACAAGGGCTCCTCAGCATAAAGCAGGCCAGGCAAAAGGGCACACAAGCCGTGGTGTCTCATCCATCGCAACTCAGTGCCCGGCAAGCAGCCCGCCCCTGCCCCGGATGGGAGAGAAAGGGCTAGGCTCAGGGGCGCTACTGTGGGTCCTTATGGCTCGGGTCTATATGGGAAGGCGTGATCTCTCAGCTTGCTAGTGTCTTAGGCCAAGGAACAGCCCTGCGTGAGGATCCTGCACTGCTCCATGCATGAACAAAGCCAAAGGGACAAGCCACACCGCTCAGGCTGGACAGGGACTGAACCTGGAGCCTCAGGAACAGTGAAGTGAGTCTTAGCATCTGGAAGGGGTGACATCTAGCTGTTGTGCCAGTACAATTTCCTAAGGAGAGAGAAATGTCATTCTTTATTCAGGAGTATTGTGCCAAGGGCTTGACTTACAAAGTAGAGGTAAATATTATAACTTAATTGTCTTAGCTCAGATTGCCTTAACAAAATCCCACAGACTGGGGAACTGGAACAACTGATGCACTTCTCAAGGTTCAGGAGGCCAGAAGTCTAGGGCCAGGAGGGTTGGGCTATGGTGAGGGCCAGCGTCCAGTTTGCAGATGGCTGCCATCTTCCTGCGTCCTTTGTGGAAAGAGAGAGAAGGCTCATTTCAACCTCATCTATACCTAATTACTTCCTGAAGGCCTCACATGCTACCACCACCACTTTGGGGAATAGGGCTTTGTTGTGGTTCTGATCTGGGCTGTCCTGCAAGAGCCTAATGCACTCACAGGTGGGGGTTATAGAAGGGGGGGGGTCTAGTGGGAAGATGTAGTCACTGGAGGTGTGACCCGGAAAGGTATTTCTATTTCTCCCTTCCTGGCTCCTCTTCTCTCTCTCTCTCTCTCCCTCCCTCCCTCCCTCCCTCTCTCTCTCTCCTCTCTCCTCTCTCTCCTTCTCTGCTTCCTGGCTGCAATATTGTGAGCAGCTTTCCTCTGCGCAAACCCTCCCACCATGCCTTCCAGGCTTGACCAACTATGGACTAAAACTATGAGCAGAAATTAACTTCTACTCCTTTAAGTTGCAGGTGTCAGGTATTGTGTCACAGTGATGTAAAAAGTGATTAGTGATCTTTAATATAAGAATTTCAGAGGAACAGAGACATTTATTCTATAGCAACAGTAAAAGGTGGGGAGTTAATTAGTAACCCAACACTGGCAGTGGCCTAGTAGGTGTAGGATTGCCACACAAGGCTGAAAGATATTTCTTAACCAGAGCTTTTGGGAGAATGCAGCAGAAGTGCTCTACTGAGTAAGGGAGTGCCATTCAGGCTTTGAGGACAGAGCTTTGAGTTTTGTGGCACCACTGGCAAAACAAGGAGCAATGCCCTGAGCTGGAGCTGGGTGTGGCTTTGTACCAGCAAATGGCATGGCCCAGGAGCCAGGCTAGGGCCTGAGGATGTGCAAACAGCTGGGAAAGATGGCAGTGTCAGCGACAGCTAGAAGTGAGGACGTGGCTGGAGAGTCACTGCCAGGTGGGAAGCTTGGGCAGCAAAGCCAGCAGCTCCCAGGTGATGGCAAAGAAAGGAAGGAAGGCCTGGAGTACACAGGAGAGGTGCAGGGGAGGAGGATTCTCATTAGAAAATTGAGGATGGGGAAAACTTTCCTCTTTCATTGCCTGATTGTCTCCGGGGGGATCCAAATCCCCGACCCGATGTGTCACACACCAAGATACTGTAGCCCAGCATGGAGGGGCTGCTTCATGCCTGAAAGATTAAAGGAAATGTCTGAAGAGACCAGGAAGCCCACCACTCCCTACCCTTTTCCCTGCCTGCTGTCCACAGAGAGGGGGCTCTGCTCTGTACTTTTGGGAGGAAGCAGATGAATAGGGAAAGGAGCCAGAGACCATGAACTGCCTGGGGGCCCAGCAGGGATGGGACCCAGAAGAAGTTTGGTGTGTGAAGGGTTGTCCCCTCCTGGGGTGAGCCAATATGCCCTTCCTGGCCCCAGATCCCCCTGGGCCAAGGCTGAAATCACAAGTCAAGATGGCTGTTCCCACAGGAGAGAGGTGAGACGTGGGGGTGATATTTGCCTCGCAGGGAGGAGACGATTTACAAGGCATTAAGACAGTCTCTGTCCTCTCTCCTGCACAGGAAGTCTTGCTGCTGAAGGGAGGGGTCCTTGGCCTCCACAGCTGGCCACATGAGGGTGCCACTGGGCCTCCTGCTCCCTGTCCTCCTGGTGGAGCTGCTGGTACCCAGCTGGGCCCTCCAACCCCATTCGCCAGAATCCCAGGCAGGGCTGGAGACTCTGGAGCCCAAGGATTCTCAGAACCAGACCTGGGGGGACATGCAGGGTCCCCCTGATGAAGAGGAGGAGGAAAAGGAGAAGGGGGAGGCCTGGCTGAGGGCCTGCGTGCAGCAGCTCTCTAATGCGACTTCAAACCTTGGCTTCAGCCTGCTGCGAAAGATCTCCATGCAGCACGACGGCAATGTGGTCTTTTCACCACTTGGTGTGGCCTTGGCCATGGCAGGCTTGATGCTGGGGGCCAACGGGCAGACCAGAGCCCAGGTGGAGCATGGACTGCAGCTACAGGCGTTAAGTGAGCCGCAGCCTCTGCTCCTGCCCGCCCTCTTCAAGCAGCTCCGAGAGACTTTCTCCGGGAGCCTCGAATTGGGCCTTGACCAAGGGAGCTTTGCCTTCATCCACAAGGATTTCGATGTCAAGGAGACCTTCCTCAATTTATCCAAGAGGTATTTCGATACAGAGTTCGTGCCTACAAATTTTCGAAATGCCTCAGAGGCCAGAGGGCTCATGAATTATTACATTAACAAAGAGACTCAGGGGAAAATTCCCAAGCTCTTTGATGAGATTATTCCTGAAACCAAATTAATTCTTGTGGATTACATCTTGTTCAAAGGTACTTTGATCGTGTTCTGCTCTCCCAAAACTGAAGGGCCCTGTTGCTGTCTCTTCCTTCCCCTCCTCTGGTCAGCGAGTGATTTTGCCAAAGGATTTTCTGAGAATGTGTCCTCAGGTTTCACAACTGCTCTGAATGGTGCCAGATGGTCATGTGAGGCCCCTGCCCTCCTAACCCCACAGCCTTTGGTCGTTAAAGGTGTCACAGCACCTCTGAGAAGCTCCTTCTGCCCTTGGGAAGAAGCAGCATAGGATAATTCCCAAAAGGAGCATTTTGTCTGAGAGAGTTTGGATTGCATCTTTGCTCCTTCATGCTCTGCTTTTATGACCTGGGGCAGATGACAGAATCTGTCCTTGGATTCTTAATCTAGGAGATAGGGACACTCCCACCTGCTATAGTTCTGAAGCTAGGTAAGATAAAGCACGTAAAGTGCCCAGTTGTGCGTGGCACATCCGAGACCCTGCACACACACGGCACTTGGTCTTCTCAGCTACCAATGCAGTGGGTAGAGCAGGGGCCAATGTCTCCTTCCTAAAGGAGATGAATGTGGAGATGGGAGAGGTTAGCTTGATAGGGTCAAACAATCGATGGCCCGGCCAGACACACAAAGGTCTCCTGGCACCCTGAGCCCAGGTACAGGAAGTGGTGTAGATGTCAGTGGGACAGAGAGCTGGCACCAGGAGACCCAGGCAGCCCAAGGACAGGAAACGACCTTGCAGTCACTAGGCCACACCCCAGGATAGGCCCCGAAGGGAGGACACGCTGCATCCCCCCTGCACTGTGGGGTCCCTGCTGTCAGAGCCCCACACGGCAGTGGGTGGGCCAGAGACACTGTCACTCAGTGTCACATATGCGTGTGCTCTTGTGCAGGTGTGTGTTGCACGAGGTGGCAACCAGAGGCCCCTCATGCAGACGAGACCAGGCAGAGGCCTAAAGTCTTCTCTAGACTGGAGCCTCCACCAGGAAGAATGAGAGGGAGTTTTGTTCAGGTCTGGAACAAGGAGGGGAGCAGAGGCTGGGAAGAGCCTCTCTGCTTCCTTGTGATTCCACAGGGCTGGTGGGTGGACCTGGATTTCACCCTGGGAAAAGTTGATCTTTGGGAAATGTGTTCCACCTGCCTGAGCTATAATCCAAGCTAAATCAGTGAGGGAACACCTTTCTGGCTGGGGCGAAGGGAGTTCAAACCCTCTCTGCCTTGTGACTAGAGCTGGAACAATGCTCTCCAAGGGGCTGCCTTTGGCATGAGATCTTCTTTCTTATTCAGGGAAGTGGCTGACCCCCTTCGACCCTATCCTCACGGAAGCTGACACTTTCCACCTGGACAAATACAGGGCAGTGAAGGTGCCCATGATGTACAGGCAGGGAAAGTTTGCCTCCACCTTTGATAGAAATTTTCACTGTCATGTTCTTCAACTGCCCTTCCGAGGAAATGCCACCATGCTGGTGGTGCTCATGGAGAAAATGGGAGATCACCTTGACCTGGAAGACTATCTGACCACAGACCTGGTAGAGACGTGGCTCAGGAACATGAAAACCAGGTATGACTGCCCCTCGCTGTGCCCATGCTTGCAAAGGCTCCCCTCACCTCAAACAGAGCACTGTGGCCCAATGCCCATCTCCCCAGGAAGAGCTCCGCTCCCCAAGGGCCAGAACAGCGTGTGGCATTTTCTACTCAGATCTTCCACACACCTGGCTCGTTCATTCACTCAGCTAGTACTTATGACGTTCCCCTGCCGTGACACCTACACGATGCTAGGGTGCATCCGTGAGCTAAACAGCCAAGTCCCTGCCCTCCTGGAATCTACAGTGTAATTAAAGGAGATCAACAGTAACCCAGAAAGAGACAGGAGTGTCAGCAGGGTACAGGCGAGTCAGGAAGGCCTCACTAATGAGGTAACAGTAAGCAAACATCTGAACTGTGTGGATGTCTCCGGGGATTGGAGACAATAAGTTCTGGGATGGAGTGTGTCTGGGGGTCTGAGGACAGAAAGGTGGCCAGCATGGCCACAGTGCATGGAGATGAGTCAGAGAGGAGCAGGGGCCCAGCCTCCCAGAACCTCCCCTCACAAGCCCCAGAATAGGCCTGAGCTTTGCCCAGAGGAGAGAAGAAGCCACGGGAGGGTTCCAAGCAGAAGCAAAACATGATCGGACTAAAGGATAGCACAAGTTTCTCGGTCGGGAAGAAGACACTAGGGGACAAGGAGGCCATGACTGTACCACAGTCACGTGGGAGGCTACTGTGAGGATCCAGACGGCCATGCTGTGGCTGGGACTATGATGGTGGCAGTGGAGGTGGGATTCTGAATGACTAGGAAGTGAGAGTTGGCAGAATTTTGATGGGTGGGGGAGACAGAGAGGCAGAGAAAGAAATAAGGACAGGGAGAGGGAGAGATACAGGGGAAGACATGCACATACACACACAGAGATAAAGACAGAAACAAAGCTGTTTGTCAGCGGTAACTGCACAGCTTTGGCCTCAGCATTTGGAAGAGTGGATGTATCATTTACTAGAATGGGGAAGAATGTGGGAGGCACAGATCTGGGGGAAAATTCCAGAGTTCAGTCTGAGCATGTGGATCAGAAGAGCTATCAGACATCCAAGTGGAGATGGCAAGAAGGCAGTTGGATTAGAGGCCAAGGCGAGCCCAGGCTGGGGATGTAGATCTGGGGTGTGACCGCCCGGGGAGGGGCTCTGCACAGAGCAGTGGGGGCTCACATGGTTCTCTAAGAAATCAGCCCAATTGTTGGAGTACGAGGGACAGCTGCGACCAGAATCCATAGCTGTGCCTCCTGAATCCCATCAGCCCAGAATTCAGCAGAGTTGAGTTCAGCTGAGGGTCCCTGTTGTTAGTTTTATTTCCTTATTCTTCTCTCATTTTTCTTGAAATCTTTAGCACCTAGTAAAGGAGCCCCAACATAAAAGGCTCTCAACGAATGTCAGCTGTATGAATTTATAAATTAATCTTCAGGGCATGTGATGTCCTCAGTTATATTCCAAGCTGACTGCCTGGCCCAACTACGCGACAGGGAGAAAAAGGAGAGACACCATGAGGGAGCAGGAATTCATCTTCATCAAGGCCTTGGACACACCAGACACAGTTCTGGGTACTCAGCATACATCATTCTTCTGAACCACCCTACAAATCCGTATTGGCATTTTTGGCTACACTTCATAGAATAAGAAATTAGGACTTAAGACTTAGTATCATGGCCTGGGATTTAGCTCAGCGGTTTTGCCGCCTGCTACATAAGTGCTAAGGACCTGAGTTCGATCCCCGGTACCAAAAAAAAAAAAAGATTCAGTATCAATTATTTTCAGAGTTTTTATTTTTGAGCCACCAGACTCATCTTTCCAATCATCATATTTTCAAAAGAGGACTCCAATATAGAAGATAACTACTCTGGGTGGAAGAGCCTGTTGAATGTTCCCTTGCTCCCGTCGCCTGTCCATACCCAGACTCCTAGGCTTATTCTGGGAGACTGGGGCTCTGTGGGATCTGAGCTGAGAACAGCCACTCCTCAACCCCCGGTGTCTGCAGGATGCAGGAAGCAGCTACTGGGTTGGTATGTGCGGTTTTTAAAACAGAGAAATGGACAAGAAGTATGGCATGCTTGACTAAAAAGAAGGTGAGTCATCAGCTGAGAAATAAGCTGGCAATAATATTTGATAAGCCAGAAGTATTTTTTCTGAGATAGATCATTACAAAAGAAAAGCGTGAGTGAGGCACAGTGCACTGAGGGAGTCTTGTTAAAATAGCCTTGGAAATAACCTTGGAGGAAGAAAAACGGAAAAGAAACTGTGTCCTTTTCGGTGTTCATAAACAGTGGCTTTGTCCACACTGCATCATTATCTGTGTTTGTACCACAGGAAAATGGAGGTTTTCTTTCCCAAGTTCAAGCTGGACCAGAAGTATGAGATGCACGAACTGCTCAAGCAGCTGGGTATCAGAAGAATCTTCTCGCCTTTGGCTGACCTCAGTGGACTATCAGCTACTCCAAGAAATCTGCAGGTGTCCAAGGCAAGTCGGGTCTTCACCAGTGCCCAATCCTAAGCAGGAAGTGCCACCATCTAATTTTAATAAAATGCCTAGGGAAATAGATTTAAATTTCAGAGACTTGCAACAGCACCCAAGTTGGGTGTTTTAAATATTTCAAGTCACATTATTACAACACCTTTTCAACTGATTACTCTTCAGCAGAGCCTTTTCCTAAGGCTCAAGGAGAAATCTATCCTGGAGTAGGGAGTGGTTTACAGCCTCGTCATCATCTATGTTATACTGCAAAAGCTCACGAAAGAAATCCTCAGAAACCACAAGGCCTCACCAACTACCTCTTGGGGACATCCCCTCTCCAGTTACCCCTGTAGATTCACTCTGGTTTCAGTCTCTCTTTTCCATGCTTTAAGTGGCAGAAACTCCTCCCTTCTTTGAGAAGCAGCCTCATCCACAAATGTCTAATTTAAAACCAAAAATCCCGACCTATTACTTCTCCCTAACTCATTCTTTTTGGTCCTTTTTTGGTCTATCTGAAAAACGACTAAGAACAAGTTCAGTCAGCTTCCCCAGCGAGTTCTCCCAGCTCATCAGTGTTTCTCAAAGGACATGCTCTTGGTTCAGCGCCTGTTGTCACAGCAGCTCAGCACTGAAGGAACTAGCTGGCTCTTCCGGCCTGTGTTCACCACGGTCAGCAGCAGTAGCTCCCCTCTGCCCTCCCTCCAGTCCAAGCAAACACTCCCCACGCCTCCACATGGCAGTCACACCTCACTGCATCCTTCCATGGCCATGAAATGTGGCGTCTGCTTTCCCATGGCAGCTGGAATTTTCAATTCCAAGAGAGATTCAAAGTGATGTTCACTTGAGCAGGAGCCAGGAAGTTAACCAGGGCCTGCCTCCAGGCCGTCCTATCCAAGGGAAGGCCAGATAAACATAACAGTCTTGCAGACCCACTCCTGAGTCTCTACTGTGAATATAAGGAAAACTAAGAAATGTGCTGCAGTTTTACAAAGCATCATCATGAGCTTGCGATTATAAACCACTAAATATTCTCCCTCTACTTGCTCTGAGGAATAAATTTTTAATCCAAGGAAATGAGAATTTCCAGGTATTATGGTGATGTTTTCATGATCTCCCCTTACAATAATTATAAAGGTACATCATTCACATGACACCAGGTTCCTGGACATAAGAGCTCCCGAACAGGCAAGTGGTCTGAGTACTGGCAACCAGGGTTCCAGAAAACTTCAGGGGCTCTCTGGATTGCTCTAGTCAGTACCTCAGGGCAGCACCAGGTTCTGGGGAGCTGCCCCCCAAGACTAACCATGCCCTGCCCTCACCCTACCTGGCAAAACAAAGGTCAAAGGACTCAGGCAACCTGGGAAGCTCAAAACAGCAGCTCAGCTTAACAATCAGTAGCACAATGTACATGTCCAATAAATGCTAGATGCATTAGACCCTCGACTTATGGACTCAATTCGTTCATGAGGGCTAGCTGTAACTCAAGTTGGTCAACTGAAGACCCCAGCTCCTCTACACAGCCTTCAAGTCTCTCTCCTGTACACAGCAGATCTCAGGGTCCTCAGAGAGACATTGGCCCAGGATTTCTGAGTTAACCACACACAGGAGAGGATGTTGTCATGTTCCTTCCAGAATTCTTTTAAGGGTTAAATCTGTATGTGAGACCATCTGGAAGCACAAGCAGCTGGTACTAGGGTCGTAACTCAACTTTGGTCGCAAAACTAAAATTCCAGTCATAACTCAAGTTGTTTGTATGTCAGGCCAGTCATAACTTGAGGGTCCACTGTACTTTTATGCATAAATGTCCTGCCAGAGTTCCTGTCACCCAAGTCCAGAATGTATTTCACATATTCCACATTTCACACTGGGTTCCTAAGGTCTCTTAGGTGGATGGTTTCAGATTCTAACACACTCCTTGGAGCAGCCATAACTCTTCACACAGATGGGCCCTGCATCACTAAACTCCAGGAGCACTGCCAGATGGGTGGCATTTCAAGGGCTCATTAATTTTTCAATCCCTACTGCCACACAAATGGTCTTCCAATTATTCCCTCTCCTAGGTTTTACAACAATCAGTGATTGAAGTTGATGAAAAAGGAACAGAGGCAGTGGCAGGAACCCTGTCAGAAATCATTGCTTACTCCATGCCTCCCATCATCAGAGTGGACCGCCCATTTCACTTCATGATCTATGAGGAAACCTCTGGGATGCTCCTGTTCCTGGGCAGGGTGGTGGACCCGACTGTCCTGTGACTCGTGACATGCATGAGCATTCAGCGCGACAGCAGGTGCTGAAGTGGAGGCATCTGCACCCACACAGGACATCCCGCTGAGTGGCCGAGGAAAGGCACATCCCTGATGTCCTCAGCTGCTATGGGCTGTTCTCAAATTAACACACATATTAAAGTGACACACGTTTAAAGGAGATGTCTGTGCAATCCATCTGGCATTTAAACCTGGTCCTAAGGCCCTTAGTTAAGTGCTGGAAGCCAGCTCACATATCTGGACTTGACACCCAGTAGACTGGAACCCAAATCCACAATGAGGCCTTTGAGGGGAGGACGTGCAATCTCCTTGAGTCATGTTTCTCTGTCCACTTCTGATATAAAGTAAGCATTTCATTTTAATCTGTTACAGAATATTTCTGCTGACTAAAGTTAGGAGAAAACTGCTGTAATCAGTCCTGATCAGTGTCTAACTCAATGATGTCTACTGGACTCCCTGGTGCACCAAAGATCATCCAGTTCAATACTTTCATTTTACAAAGGGAAGAATAAGGGACCCAGAAATTGGATCACACTGTGACTTTTGAAGGCACTAGGCATACACACACACACACACACACAAATATATGTTTTAGCATATATATGATTTTTAGTATTTATGTATAGTTCATTTATACTATTTATATAGATCTTCATTGGTGTCAGGGCGAATATATTCTGGATAACTGATCCTTTTAACAATGCAATCTATGTGTCTTGCTTTCTGGTAGAAATAAAACATCTTCAAGGGCCCTTAAAAGCATGGTGACTGTAGGCCAGTGATGATGAACCTATGGCATGTGTGCCGCAGTGGGTACGCAGAGCCCTCTGTCAACATGCGAGCCAATTCACCCCAGAAGTCAAGCACCAGGTAACAGTTTTGTTTTTTTAAACTAAAACCTCAGTAGTCAGGTTTAACTGCAGAGTTGGCACTTTGTGATAAATAAGTGGGTTTTGAGTTGCAGTCTGGGCACTTGGTCTCTAAAAGGTTTGCCATCACTGCCTTAGGCACTGTGGCTACTTTACCTGATGGATAAGTCAAACCTGTATCTCAGTCACCAGTGTGACCATGGTGCAGCAAAGGTCTGTGTCTAACACCCAAGCCCTGTTCCTCTTCCTTCCCTCCCTGGAACATGCGCTGAGATCCTGCTACACAGAATGTGTTTACTTCAGAGTTACCCACCACGGTTAAACAATATAAGCATGGACTCTACCCCAAGGGGAAAAGGAGAATAGCAAATACCTGTGGGGCTTTCTCAGTCATTTTCTGACATGGAAACAAGGCACAACTTTAGGATGGTCAAGTCAGAGAATCCTAAATAGAGTTAACAAATCTTGGAAAGTCAGGTGTGTTAACTAAATGCATAATTGGATTTCTATCTGTGTTGATGCTTAAACATACCTGAAACTAACTTATTATCTTGATGACTAAAATCAAAGCAATGAGAATAGGTGATAATATTAAGAGCCAGTCTAAAGACTAACTTCACCATCCCCACATCTGGGCATGAACTCATTCCTGCAGTCCATCCAAGAGTACTAATTGACATTATTTGACAGGCAGGAAATTCTAGAGCCTAGAAAGAGAAACAATGGAAGAGGGCTAAGTTAAACTGGCATTCCTATATGATCTATGTCCAGTTATCAGGTTTGTTTGTGGAAAAATGCAGAGAGAAGAATAGGGTTCCGGCAATGTTCTCATTTTTAAGAGATGCAATCTAGAAAAGAAACTCTACGACGGTGTTGGCAAACCTATGGCACGCATGCTGCAGTAGGCTGTTTGTATCATTGAAAGCTCTAAAAGGTTCATCATCACTGGTCTATGAGAACACAATGCTCTAAAATGAACACAGTCACACTTGGTCATGGAAAGGTCAGTTCTTCTCAGCCTCAGGTGGCCTTGTCTAGATCTAGTTAAAGAATCTACACGAGAGGTTGTTAAACAGAACTCTCATAAGAGTATTAGTCTTGTTTCTGGTGTAAATGAGGATAGTCATAACTGTCACCATTTTTGATTGTTTATATCTGTCCTTGGAAGTAACATTTTAACAAACATTTCAAAAATTTTAGAGGTTATCATGTTTATGAAAAAAAAAATCCTTGTCCAAAAGTAATCTGATTAACTTGAACTGAGAATTTAATGCCTAGCTGTAAGAATGCAATTGACTTCTCTACATTTCTTAACTTTACTAGCAGTGTTTTTCCTCTCACTCAGCTTTCCTTTTCTCATATTCATAATGGGAAAACAAAAGTTCATAACTTTGGTAAATGTTTTAACAATTAAATTGAAATTCTCCATCTTATTTAAAATAAGAGTCAATGCTGACTATGGACAAATGGGTGGGCTTTGTTGTCCCACTGCGCACTACAAATTCTCCAGATCACAATACAGTCAAGTCCATACTATTGAGTCTGGTAGAAGATGACAGCAATAAAAATTGCTAAATGAAATCCACAGAAACTATGCTGAATTTCTTTAACCAGAACTGTCAAGTTTCTCATACCTATTGGATTTTTAACTATTGATAAAATGAGTCGAACAATTCCATTTACCTAATTGTCCTCTCATTAAGGATATTACGAATCACTACACATACTGCCAAAAAGAGGCCAGGTGGAAAGAAAAGGGGAGACAGATCCATGAATAAGTCTTATACTGAGTAATTGTCCCCTGAGTGATTTACAGTTGAGATCACTGTGCTTCTCTTATTCATTACTTAAGAATGAGCTGTCTTGCTCTTTAACTAAAGAATTACAATTTCAGAAACATATTTAAAACTTTTTTTCACAAACACAGGCATCTCATTAACCTGTTTTATTTTGAATAAATTCATTATCCATTTCACATTATAAAAAGTAACCAGACACACATATGCATTCACAAATTAGATCATCTTTATCATACATCAATATATTTAAAAAACAAATATTTTCTAATATCAATATAGTTATATGTTGATTGCATTTTGAAACAGAGAAGCTGACAATAGCTTCATACAGTACAGAACTGACATTTTAAAATTAAGAACTGTATATGTTGCACAGGCAAATTTTGATGGAAATATTAGCATTAGTACAAGTAAATGCTGTTGACACAGCTGAAGCATGATAGCTTGGAGTAACAGCTGATTCAAACTAGATTCGTCATTTTAAATTAAGTAAAGCCAAATACATTCTAAAATGTAAACAAAGTATTTATAAAAGAAATTCTAGGAAATAAAGGAAATCATCAATCTATTATTTTTAAGGTATTTGCAGCTCAAAGTTATCAGAAATCTTTTTGCAGGATTAATTTGGGAATGTCCACAGAGGACATGTTGTTCCCTCACAGGACTCATGAAACTGTGACAGGTGTTCAGTTTGACTCTTCAGCTGGGTGTGGACGGCTATGTGGTCTCTTCCTCACCTCCCAAGTCCCTCCCTGCTCCTGCAGTGCCCAGCAAGGTCAATTTTGGCCGTTGTGGACTGTCATGCAATTGCTAAACACAGAGACTCTAAGACAGTGAAACCACTGGCTTCCTGCACAAATAAAGGCAGGCTTGTCAGTTTTGCAGCCGTACTCAAAGCACACACTGAACTTGCTTTTCATTACAATGCACTATGTTAACACTGGAATTCTGTAACCACATTATTATGTAAGAAATATATACTATACCTCTTAGGGAATTTAATTTCAAATATGGTCAAGTTTAACATAAGCTGCCATTATGTCTCTTTTTCCATTCATTAAAACAAACAAAAACTTTAAAAAAAAAAGGAAAAGAAAAAAGCCCCAGCCACTGCTTTAGCTTTTGTCCATCAGTCATATTCATCCCGGTGTCTTTGCTTTGTCCCCTTCAACAACAGTTGATTTAAGGGTTGGATTTTCTGGATTTTCTGAAGGAAGGGGGCGGGGTAGAGAGAGAAAAACAGATATGAGCAATTTTATCCCTATAATGCTCACAAAGTAAATAAAGACGTAGATACACTACTTTGAAGAAACCTAATAGGAGAATTCTAAGAGAAAAAAGTACACATTAAAAATTACTCAGAATTGCCTTTAACTATCAAAAAAACCACGCGTGCACCTAACATAGCACACTATTTAATTCATATTTTACTGCACTGCAAACACTGTATAACCATAATGGAAATTATGCAGGCCTAACTATATTAATTGCAGGGCCTTGTAGTAAGATATACTGTGCACCTGCCCTTCTTTAAGACACAGCTTTTTCTAATTACCAGATGTGTCATTCTGTAAAGCTGGGAAGTGACTTACATGTCATTTTTATCAGAAGCAAAAACTGAAATAATACTTTTTGACATCACTTCATAGGCTTATTTTAAGTAAAAATGACATTTTCATTTGGGTAAGGCATGGCTCTGAATTGCGGACAATACTTCACGTAAAAACAAAACACAACAAAACAAAGACACAAAAAACCAATTTAGGTATCAGCCAGCACCCAACTCAGCTGCGGTTGGAGCTCCTGGAGCCCGGGGACTCGGGAGGCAGCAGGCCCTGCCCAGCCTACACAGGAGGAAAGTACCATGTTTTGTAACCGGCATTTATGTAAGAGAAAATTCAATCTATACAAGGGAAGAACATGCATAACGAGGAAAGAACAAATGAAGGAATCTGCATAAAGGAGAGCTGGCCTGAGTATATTAGGCTTCGGGGGTTTTTAAAAGCGGCCCATAACACGTAGAGGAATAAGTGAAGAGAACACCGTTGCTGTGGCTGCACGGCTACTCCACAGGAGTGGTCAGGGGAGCCCTCTGAGAGCTGGTGGCTCTCAGGTAGCTAGAGGAGGGATCTCAGGCTACAGGACCGACAGGTCCCTTAGAAGAACATGAGTCAACCCTGCATTTCACAGAGCAGGCAGGGAGGCCAAGCAGGATAGGGCTGTGCCCCACGCTCAGCTGCTGTAGGGCAGGCATGCGGCTCCTGCTGACCTGTGCAGAAAATCACCCTGCCCCACCTCTCTGCTCACAGCTTCTGAATGGAACCTCCACAGTGTAATCACAAGGGCATTAACTATCTGGGGAAACAGCATTATCTGTAGTAAAGGGGTCCTATAGTGACTCTAGTCACCCTTAATATCAATATCGCTTTTTCCTATTATTAGTACTTTGTAGTATATATACCTGCTCTTACCTGGAGCCCCATGCAATAAATTTATTTCTAAATTCTGAAGAAAGTAAAGTATATGCATCTATACTTGTATATACCTAATGGTCAGTTACAATTTGGAATGAATTATAATATACAGTTGTGCTCCTAATAGGGCCTCCAGCATGAAGTTTCTGCAAAAAAGATGCAGTTGAGAAACTTTACTGGAAAATGTTTCTGAATTTAGTGAAATGTGTTTAGAAGGAAATGTGAATCTTGCTTAAGTTCTGTTCTAATCAGAAGGTTCAGATTTTCAAGTGAAAGTACAAACCTACAGCTGCAGTTTGAGTATCCTGGCAGAATCATTTAGACACTGGTATGGTCTCTTTGCTGGTTTTCATGATACTACCCTCTTAAATGTTTAAGCTAAAAAAACCCAAAGACTTTGGTGATTCCAACAAAATCCAAATTGCATATAAAAAGGAACTGTGGGGGAAAGGAAGACAGAACTTCAACTTCAAGGCACAAGTACAGTCTATGTGCCTAGTTTACTGAGCCCACAATTCTGGGTTCTGTGCTGCAGTGATCTTTTATAAGTGACATCCGCCATACCCCTCTTTCTGAGCATTGCGGCAATGAGATACGATAGCCAGGTGTTCAAAGGGATGTAACTCTCCCAGTGTCTTAGAGATAAAGGAGTGCAAATGTTCCATAGGGGGGAAAAATCTCAAGATATTATCTGAAGCCATTTAAATGGTCTTTTGTTGATTCCCTAAGGTTAGAGTAATTTGCCATACCTATATAAATTATCTTATATGTACTATCTAGCCTAACAAAATCTCAAGTGATAAAACCCCCTTGGGCTCACTGGAGACATGTTCTATTCCTTGAAAAGTATGTACATGGGAAGACAAGTACACTCAGGAAAGAATAGGACAAACACTGTATGGTTACCACTCAGTGACTCACAAGGTGGCCTTCCGGGGTTGTGTGTCTTTACTTCCACTGTTCTTTGGATCTGTTGGGTTAACTGTCCCACGGGAGGTACTGGGTATGAGAGGACTGAAAGAAAAGGAGGCTGGAGCACTACTGGCACTTCGAGTCCGGAATGAATCATCTGAAAGGAACAGATATACAGAACATACTGGGAAAGATGTTAAGAGAAGAAAAGGCTGATTTTTTCACTTTTTAAATTAATTTTATGAAGGCATAATTACATATAATAATGGCACAAAGTTAAGGTTTGGGAATCTTTATACCTCCATGAAACCATTGCCAAAATTAAGATGTGAACACACCCATCACGACCCAGTGTTAACTCATGCCCACTGTACTCCTTACCCTCCTCTCACTTTATCCCTCTCAAAACAACCGATCGGCCCTCTGTCACTGTAGATTAGCTTGCATTTTCTACAATTTTACATAAATGGAAGCCATGAATACTTACTTTTTTATCTCGCCGCTTTCATTTGATTAGGATGATTCCTTTAAGATTCATCCATATTGAACATATCTGTACTTTATCCCTTTTTATTCCTGATTGATATTGTTTATCCATAATGTTCACTGATAGACATTTGTATTTTTCCAGTTTTTATTATAAACAAGCTGCTATGAGCATCCAAGTGCAAGTCTGTGTGGGGGTATGTTTTAATTCTCTTCAGTAAAAGCCTAAGCGTAGAACTGCTGGATCACAGAGTAAGCGTATACTTATCTTCAGAAGATACTACCAAAGTGCTCTTTCCTTCCTCCTTCTGTCTTCCTTCCTTTTTTTGCGTGTGCAGTAGCATTCTGGAGAGCACTTCTCATCACCTGCTTGATACTGGGAGCCTTTTCAATTTTAGGCATTCTCGTAGGTGTTAAGTGGTATCTTTACATGCAATTTCTTCTCATTGTTCTTAATTTGTATTTCTCTGATTACTGATCTTAAGAATTTTTCAGTTACAAACTGCACTTAACATGTTTATCTTCTTTTGTGCTCACATTCAGACCTTCTGCCCGTTTTAAAATTAGTTGCCTAATTAAACAACTTCTTTGTATATTTTGAATACCAGGTATTCTCTTGTCAGGTATATGTATTGTGAATATTTTCTCCCAATCCATGTCCTGACTTTTAGTTTTTATTGCTCTATTTCAAAGCTTCAGATTTTAAATTTTGATAAAGTTTGCTGTGTTAGTATTTTCCTATTGTAGTTAGGAGAAATCTTTGTCTATTCCAAAGTTACAAAGACTTTCTTCTATATGCTCTTTAGAAATTTAATAGTGTCAGTTTTTATGCTTAGGTTTACACTTTGAGTTAATTTTGTGTATAATGTGAGATAGGAATAGAGGTACAGTTTGGGGGGCTTTGTG